ACTACAGAGGCTGTTGCTATCTTGGATCGTGCTATCATTATAGCAGGCGCTCCTGGCAGATTGGATTCCATTCATCAACTCATCAAAGATATCCAAGAGAACTATCTGACGCTGAAACCACTCATAACCTCTTTTGGTCACAAACAACCTCTAACACAAATGTACCACTCCAGCGCCTTTTCCGTTTGTGTTCCTTGCATTGACCCCCCACCAAATGTCCTCGGGAGGCAATGGTCACAAAAGCCATTTGTACTCCAACGTTATGGTTACGTACAAGGTTGGAAGGCCCTTGGTTCGTGGGCGTCTATTGACTATCTCCGTTCCGTGGCGGGCCCTGGTCGTCTTGTGCCTGTCGAAGTTGGGAAAGACTACAGGACTGAAGAATGGACACAAAGGCTGATGAGCTGGGACTGTTTTCTGCAGTCCCTCGACTTTCCTGAACACCCAGCTCAACCCCAGAACGAGGTGTTATACCTTGCACAACATAACCTCTTCATGCAATTCCCGGAACTTGAAGGGGATATTGGTATTCCCGAATATGTTTATGCATGCCCTGACCCCCCATCTTGTTATCCTGCTTACAAATCCCCGGGAAATACGGATGGGTTGATCATCAATGCATGGCTTGGCCCAAGGGGTACCATTTCCCCGGCCCATACTGTGAGTTCCTTCAAGATTATATGCGGTCGATGCACAAGTCTACTAATATTATCTGACAGGACCCCTTCTTTAATTGTTATGGTGAATGACTTCTTTGCGCTCCATTTTACTTGTATATTAAATCATCTCGCGCTAGTCCAAGTAGTCGGTCGCAAGACTGTTTGGCTCGCACCGCCTGATGTTTGCAATCTGATGTATCCATTCGACACATCGATATCTGACACTGCTGATAAGTCTCGCAATCCGGCGGCCAACGTTACGGAGCCATCGATGTGCAATACATCTCGGGTGGATGTGTTTCCTGATTCCGCGGAGGCAGAGCAAGCGTCGCGAGATGCTTTCCCTGATTTTTGGAAAGAGGTGCCGCAGAAAGCTATGTGCGTGACCTTGGCCCCCGGTGATGTGCTATTTTTTCCTCCTGGATGGTGGCATGCGATGCGAAGTGAAGAGACGAGTTTTTCTATCTCGATGTGGTTTTAGTTGTGGTTTTAAGATGGCGTTGTGTACATATATATGTTGATGGTGACCGTTACGAGCAATGCGAAAGTCGGAGAATGACTCAGAGATCTGCTGTGACTTTTCACTGGAAGCGTCGGATAGGCCGCGTGAGTGTACAGCATTTATTGGACCGGATGGTACCGACAACTGCCTGGTTCAGAATAATCATTGTTGGAAACAATAATATTATTTGTTCGACACCCTAGAAGGTCCAGCTGACCGTTGACCCTGATCCTCTTGCTTTATCCTCTAAATGTCGGTCTCGGACGTTGACCGTGCCGCTGGGCGCACGTCTCAATTCCCGGGTACTAGCAGACATGGTGCTTTATCTCCTTTGCTCTCTACTTCACTAACGGAAGAACACATCGCGGAAGCACTTCGACAGTCATCCGACAATGGCGCTACTCTTGATCTCACACACAAGAACCTGACAGACGTCGGTGAGGATGGGGCAAAACACTTGGCAACCATGGGCAGGAACGGTTCCCTCGATGACGAGAGTTCAGTATTCAGGTACGTTGCTGCGACGCGTTGTTACCGCAACTTCACATTACAAACTACTTTAGGATTGCATTGGGGTACAATCGCCTTGCTACACTCCCTACTGCATTTGCCCTGCTCTCTCGCTTGAGATATTTGAATTTGCAGAACAACAATTTCACCTCTTTCCCCGACGTGGTGAGCAGCCTCAAAGTTCACGCGTTGAACGGTCGCTGAACGTGACACAGTTAACAGTCATGCCATCCTTAGAGATTCTGGACATCAGTCGAAACAAAATCAAAAGACTACCGGGGCAATCAGGCTCCCTGATCAACCTGAGGGTACGTTCCGTGGTTCTATACTTCCTCTTAGTGCCAAACATGCTCTCGTCAGGTTTTCTGCCTGTCACGCAACAAAATAACTCGCATCCCGGGATACTTTGCAGATTTTCGTGGGCTGGACGTCTTGAAGGTAGATCACAATCCCATAGAGTGGCCGCCGAAGAATGTCATGGTAACACCAGATGGGGGAAGGGAGTGGATAACATTCATGCAGAAGTGGATGAGAAATAATTATCGGCCTCGCTTGGGCATGAAACGGCCCAGCATCGACTCGCTCATGAGTGCGAATACGGCTTTGGACAACTCCATGTAGGGATCAACTCTCTCATACCCGAATGCCAACTGACGTACTTACAGCGAAGACCAAATACAGTCCTGGTCTCATATACATGATGATTCAGACCCAGGTGTTACCCCTCATGCTCGTTCCTTCTCTATCGACGCTTCCCTTCCGGAACCTACAAAGTCGACATCGCCGCGTTTCGACCGCCCGCCACCTCTACGCCTGGGGACGCTTCCTCCGTTCAAAGTCCCACCTCGATCAATGACTGTCGGGAGCTACCTGCCTACTCCTGCAGAGTCTGTGTCATCTACAGATGATCACAGTACAACCGTGCCAGAGGGTCCACAGCATGGCCGTAATGCGTCATTTACCGGTTCAGCTCGTGATCGCTGTCCAGCACTGTTTGGGAAGAAGAGTCTGCCAGATCTCCGTACAGCCAACGTGAGTGATGGTGTCAACAAGCAGGCTATTGGGGGGACAAGCAAAGGAGTTCTCGCACCTGATCTACTGTCACATGACGAGTTTTCCATGCCCTCACCTCTCTCACATCATCAAGGCTCGTCATCATCATCTGACGGTTCCTCGCATTTCCAGAGCAGAAAGGCATATACTCAGTCACCTCCTACATCTGCATCTCCAACCTTTGGCGACGTTCCTCGGCCGGTTCCCGAAGTCGAACGCCATGCATACTTCAAGCGCCTCTCGGCGCTTCCTGCCACAGCCATGATTAACAATCTCTCATCTTCCCTACGCTCCCTTGTAGAATGTGCACGGTCACTGTTCTTCGCTGTTTCACAGGTTTATCAGGCACTTTCACACTACATCACTTACACCAACGACCGACAACTCTCCTCTGTGCTGAAGAAAGTCACCGACCCTGCGTATACTTACATGATGCAGTTGAACGGCGCTCTCGATCGGTTTGATACAATTTGCAAGAAAACGACACCGCCACCTTCACTTTGCCGAGCGCTTGTGGAGAGTAGTAGAGATACCGCAGCGATGTTTGGCAAAGCTATTGCGATGATGTCACTGCAGTTGAACATCCTCGCGTCTAAAGATGATGACCGATATATGCGGTCATTGGTGCTTATCTTTTATGGTGCCATGGCCGAAATATCGAGTGCGTGGCAGTCGATGGTTCCACACATTGAAGCTATCAAACCTCACCTTTCGGATCGCCGGCGTCATCTAGTGAAGCCCCAACCAGTCCCAAATTCTAGTCCCGAGCTTCTTCCTTCTTCAGCACCACCGTCGTACTCCCCGTTCAATGCGCTGCCGCCACATGGTATTCCAATCGCCAGATCACGACCCACACAATCCCTTGGTAGAGCAAGAACCACGCGGCGCCATGCTGGGTCGTTCAGTTCAAAAGACGTGGAGATTGGCAAATCCTTGCCATCATATGACTTGCCAGTACCATTTGGCGCGGTGGTAAACTCCCCGACGACACTTCGAGCAGGACAACGTCATCCGGCGCTACCGCTTTCAGCATCAACATCGAGCCTGATTCCCTCATTGGTGAATTCTAGCATACCTTGGACGTCATTGTCTGGGCAGCACTCCCGGCAAGCCTCCCAAACATCATTGACGCCATCAGCTGCGCCTTCATCGCCTTATGTGCCTGCTCGACGCCCAACACTTGATATACCTCCTTCACGGACGCTCGTCGACAAAGACGCCCTCGACGCGATGGAAGTGGCAGTAGAGGCAGCACCTGCAGTATGGGAGATGCTGAAAGAGATTGTGGAGAATTTATCTGAAGGAGCTGAAGAGTTCCGCAACACGCTGCTTAAGGCTAAATCCACCACGGAGCGCCTACGTACTAATATAAACGCAATGCGGTGCGGAGACCCAGGAGCTGACAGAAAAGGGCTCCGTGAGGACGCACACGTGTTCGTCAAGGTGATTCATCTCTCTGATTTCCTTGTCTTGGTCCCATTCCTGTGGTGATCCACTTGTCTTTTCAATCTCCTTGGGGTGATCTGTGATGCTGATCTGCGAGATTTTTCTCTACAGATTGTGGTCAAATTGTCAAATCTGGTCAAAACGCACGGCACGTCCCACGCCGTATTCTCCGATCTTTTAGGCAAGATGCTGGCGTTGACAAATGCCACGCAGGAGTTTGTGATGCTCCTGCATGTCTCATCATTCTCACCATCGACGACACCACGACCATATTCTCCCATGACTGCTATCTTGGCGCCGTCCGCAGTCGGATTGATCGCTGAGGATGGGCGGCTAGGTGCAAATTTATCCAGAAGTCGCAGTTCTACGCAGCCGAAGACATTGAAACTGTTTGGTCACATAACAACCCCTCGGAGTGCACTTCCAACCCAGTCCTTCAATATACCCCGTATGCGAGACACGAGTGATGAAGGCTGAGCGCTGAGCCTTGGTAGCTTTGATTAATTGTTATGTCCATGACTCATCCTCACGACGCATGACGTATACCTGCAGTTATTGTAGCATCATCATACCAACATCTCACATTACATATTCGACTAGTATTGTCTCTTGCTTTCAAAATTCCATGCCTATATTATGCTGGATCCTACATGAAGGTAATGTGTATGTGAAATAAGAGGGTCCCAAAGCATAAAATCTATCAGAGCGATAAAATGAGGATGCGGATTGTAATGGTAGATTCATAAAATAGTATCGTATTTGCGTGTATGAATGAGTCGTCAACCAGCTATGATCACCCCGGCTATAATCACCCCATGCGCGTCTCCATCTCACCGCACAGCATCACTTAGCATACGATCGATTTCGGCTCTGATTTCGGCGAGGTTCGCCTTGAGCGTCTTCGCATCTTCGAACTTGCGATGCGCCATCGCCTCGCCGACAAAGGATTCGAGAAGAGCCTCTTGTTCTAGAAGCGGTTGTAGTGTATGGGCGAGGTCTGAATCGGGGTCCACAAGTGGTGTCTCGAAAGGGACAGGTGACGATGATGAATCACGCTTTTTAGGCTTGGGCAGGGACTGCGCATGATGCTAGTCAGTTTAGAGTATCCGATGAAACGTATTTTACGTACCTGTAATGGGAACATGTGCTTCTGCAAAAATAGATTCGCCCTGCTGAGGACTGCGAGCTGCACGTGGTTCTGGGAAGACCCTGTATTGCAAGGAATGTCACGTATCCGTTTGGCCAAAACATCATATTGAGCAAAGGCATCCAGGAGACGCTTCCGTGCTGCGGACGCTTCTTTGGTTGGCTGGTCGTCATTACTAGATGCAAATGTGTTGTTGTCAATCTGTGTAGAATCAAAGCCCAGTCAATACGTACCTGAGTGTAAGAAGCAGGTCCTGAAACTGGGGAATCGCATCCTCGATCTCTTTCTCGAGACTAATGAATGCCTATTTCCAAATTAGTATCGCACAAGCTCAATAGCTCCAGTAACCAACTTACATCATAGAACCTTACAAACGGCGGTACGCTCGCCATCTCCTGCCAATACTGCTGTCGCGTGAGCACAGGCCTGCAGCTACGGCATATTCTGACGCCGCGGAGAAATTTCTCCTCCTCGCCGGCACCCGCACGACGCACACCGTAATCGACGCCCTCCCCGACCTCCTCGATGCGCCGCGTCTTGGCATCGACGACGAAAAGCACTGAACAGGGGCTCTGGCGCTGCGGGAGCTTTGGAGGAAGACTGCAGATGATGGTACCGCAGAGGCGGCAATGGTGTTTACGGTTTGTGAGTGGGTGAAAGGACGCGCTGAAGGAATGTAAGTGAGATTCTTATGTTCAAACGGCGGTGGTATGGGGGTGTAAGTATGAAAAGGAAGACATACACGCATAAAGGACATTTAGATACGGCAGCATCGTCCTGCCAAGGTGTTATCCGCTGCTCTGCAGCTAGAAAAAGATTGTTTCGGTCAATACTCAATTCAACGAACTGAGCGGTGTGATATACCTCGAGTATCACCGTTGGAGCCCTGTATCATTTGGCTCTGCAATACCCCTTTCCACAGTTCACTCGCATCCATATTCTTAAGGTCGAGATTGAAAAAAGACGAAGCCCTCCTCTTTTCCATTCCCCTTCCATTGACACTAGCCTCATCTTTCCTCGCACCCACGCCTTTCTCAACAGAATTCTCCACAGGAAAATGCAGAGCGATAAGCTTTTCGAGCCTACGCTCTAGCTTTGTCTGTTCTATCCGCCCCTCGTCAACACGTTTCGTCCGGTATTCAGCAAATTCGTCCGTGCGGGGCCGATACACACCCTTGGGCTGAAAGCCTGGACGGTAGGGTGCTGCAGACCGCGTAGGGGTGGATGTACGTATTTGTGCAGAGGAAGATGCAGGTGCGGATGAGGTGGAGGGGAGGGACGGAGTTGACGCTGCAGGAGAACCTGAGGTTGAGGTTGTTGCTGATACTGGGGCTGATGAAGAAGGTGGCGGTAGAGGTCCTGGTGTTGGTGTCGGTGAATAGAGTTTCGGCGGTGGCAGGGGTGCAACCATCGAAGACGAGCGCGGGGGTAGACTGATGATGTTTTGAGCAAAAGGCGCGCTTGCTCTTGGAAGTAAGACTGACGGAGGTAGTTTACCACTATCTGATATTACTGATGTAACTGAGGTGACACGGCTGTGCATCACGGGTGAATGCAATGCATGCAGTGCATCGAGTTGGCGGCTGGATGGTGCGGGGGAGTGGGTAACGGGTGGGCGGAGAGGCGAAGCAAGTGGGGATTTTGCAGGGGGAGGACGGAGGCGCCTGAACTTGGATGGTTTCGGAGAAGTAGGAGGAAGCTTTGTTATGGAAGATGCAGGAGAAGAAATTGGTAATTCCATCTCTTTATCTTTGCCATTTGTACGTGGAACTGGCTCCTCATCGGGTACGGGTGTCTGGACAGGATCTGGCAACGCAACATCAATGCTTGTTGGGGAAGGTAACTCGGTACTAGTTGATGAGCCATTAGTAGTCGGTGAGGAAGGAAGGTCCCTCGAATGTACGATATCGACACTGGGTGCTCGTGTCTTGTCTGTTACGACTGTGATGACATTTGGATACTCTGTGGAGACTGTCAAGACCTTCTCAGACTCATAGTATTCGTGTGGACGAGTGAATATGGGCGCTGGAACAGAAGGGGGGATTGATGCCATGCTCGATGGGCGGGACATAGGCGGCGGGGAGACATTGGGAACCAGATGGATAGACGAGACTGCTCGGGAATGTCGTTTCGACTTTTACATTTATTTGGATGAGAATAAAGGAGAATTTAAGAAGATTAACGTACTTTGTAGGCCTGATACGGGACATTAGGCGGTGAATCCATAGCTCAGCTGAGCAATTGGATATACAAAAGGTCTGCAAGGCAACTTGTAGTGAGGTGAACACGCCGTGCGTCCAAGTTAGTGTGAGCAGCCAGGATGGTGTGCAAGAAAACCCGGGACACCTGTCGGAATGGCGACGACCAAAATCAGAATCGTGAGCCCGTCAGGGCACTGGTTGTGCAGCGTGAACGCCCTCCACCGGCGTCCTCTACAGGAACCGCAGTTCACCTCCCAATAACTTGAAGTGTATTACATAATCGGCGACTGTTAACACACAATTCAATCCACATTGACTACAGCGAATAGTACAATATACCAGCGGGCTACATTACACACCAAAATTGAAAGAATTGCGATAAGGTACATCTCATAATGATAACCTCACGCCAGGAACATGCCAACCATTGACACCACTCCCACAATGCCAACCAAGACCCTTGTCCCACGATCATTCATCTTCACCGCACCACCCGACTTCGTTTGTGTAGCTTGTACTCCTGTACTCGTGGTCGAGGATGTCGAAGATGTCGAAGAGGTCCCGTTGAGTCGGATTGCTTGCGCCTTGAATGCAGCAAAGTTGTTGGCTCCGGACTCAACCGCGTTCACAGAGAACACCATGCCTTGCCCACAGTGTCCAGACTGTTTACAATATACCCAAATTGGTGCAGTCTAAGGCACTCGATGTCAGCACAGGGAGTAATATGACGACAAGTTCCTTACATTATTGATTTGGATCGTATACGTTGGGAATGTCGTCGCATTAGATCCAACGGCCATGCTAACAGCGCTGTCAGTCTCACACATAGCTTAACCAACAAAAACACTTACAATCCAGAATCAAACCCAACTTGTCCACTCGTAGACGTGAGAGTAAGCGAGCGGCACGGATCCGCAAAGGTACTCTGCGTTGCCGTGTGATTCTTTTGCATGAATTGGAACGTGACCGTATCCCCGATTTGTGCAGTAATATTCGATGGCGTATACGTCAGGGTCGAGCCGCCAACAACAACTTTATGATCCGTGCTTGTTACGCTCGTTGGTGCCGCACTACCAGGGAACGAACCGTAGGTTGTAGTCACAGTCTGACCACCTCCAGTGATAGTCGCGGTAGCAGTGATGACCCCGGTGGGAGCAGTCGCAGTTGCAGTGACCGAAGCAGACGAGGATGAAGAGACTGTGGTATTGCCCATGGCCGCTGCTTGAAACGCAGCAAACTGAGTGCCTGGGTTGATGGCGAAGACCATGCCCTGCTGGCAGTGATTGCCTTGTTTGCAGTACACCCAAACTGGGTTCATGTCCTGCACCGTATATTGTGCTGCAGGGAACGGGCCGTTCGTGTTGGTGGATGATACTGGCATGCTATGTACACCAATCATGATATTTCAGTCTAAATTTATACAACGGCGTGTTCGTGCTTACAAGCCAGAGTCAAATCCATTGGACGCCTTTACACATGGCTGGGCTAAAGTAGATTGGGAAGCCGTATGGTTGGATTGTTTGAAAGTGAAGATGATGGTATCTCCAGGGTTCGCATTCTTCACATTAATGAGTAATGATTCTAATGAATACTGCGAAATTGACCGCAGAGACGTACGACAAATTGCGGATCATATCTTAATGGTCCTCCACCAACAGTGACGTTAAACTGGACGGCCTGCGCCAGCGACACTACAGCAAAGGCCAGGAATAAGCTCGAGAACATCGTGATTGGTCAAGGTTGAATGTTTGAAGTGTCAGAAATTGAAATCAAGGCAATTGAGCATCAAGCCCAAAAGTTGAAGCTTCAAGACGCACAGCGACTAGGGTCAGAAGGTAAAGATGGAGACAGAAAAGCTCAGACAGAATAACAACACGGCCAGCTGCAAGTCTTTTATATGAGGCATTTATGCCACAGTGCCAAGGTAGTCTTAGGTGAAGTTCCACAAAAAAACAAAAGAGGACAAGATGATCAAATACCGTTATGGAAGGTGAACAATGTCAACCATCGCCATGCAACCGATCGTGTTGTTGACAGTACTTATAGGGTAGCAATGCCTGTGTGGGCAGAAAGGAATCGGCCTCTTGGCAGAATGGCAAAAATAGTTTTGACTACTACACTAAGGCTATACCTGATGAGTCAAATATCATACCCTGATGCCCCATCTGACCGTCCGCGTCAGCCTCCTGTGTCTCCTGTGTTTCATGTGTTTGATGATCAACTCCCCATCAGTAACCTGTGAGATAATCCTGGTGATCAGAGTCTGCTGCAACAGCCTGCAAGGGGAGGAATCCATGCAAACGACCTTTGAGTCGACTCGGAAGTTGCAGAAGCGGGGACGACACAGTTTAATCATTTTTGGGCGAGCCATCGCACACCGCCGTAAAAGACTTTAGTCGGTGGACTTGAAGGCTACAAAGAATACTGAACACAGACCGGTGTACAACATCCCAAATAATGAAGTGTAGTAAATACCCGCGACGTATCAAAACGAACAGCGTCCGCAGGTATCCGCAATAGATATTAAAAGGAGTCGAACCCAAGAGTCATTGGCAAAACTCATGCATCACCTTCAGCGTAATATTCCCTGAGGAATAATCCCACTTCCTGATCGCAGGCTTAAAAGGAGGGATCAGACTTGTAGAGGACGTGAATAACAAGCATGACAAACAGTAGGCCTTTGGAAGATCGTGGTTGCTGTTGTAATTTGTAAGGCAGTGACGGCAAGTTCAAGTTGGTGAACTGTGAAGACTCGGAAGGGCAGTGAGGCATCGGGACAGTGACAGAAACCAAATTTGGGCGCGAGGCAGCAGAAGAATGCCGGAGGCGGCGAGTTCTGCATGTGCTGGGGGGTGCATTCAATAGTGGTATAGCAGAACGTATGGGTGTGTAGCTACTCTTTGCTAGTGTCTCTGAGATCTCACCGCTTGCTGTCCTCTTCTACCGCCTGTTTATCGAGTCCCTCACTTCATGTTCCATCACGGCCCTGCGCAATGATTTCTCGTCGGCAACTGCTATTGTGTTCTTGAGGCGAGTGCAGGGTACTGGTGTTCAGGAGGGGTGTCAGAAGGATGACGGAGGGTGCAAGAAGGTAGCGGGAAGGCTAGGACGCACTGATGGTGCTGGAAATGAATGCACAGAACTTCGAGGTGACATGATCGATAACCACGCACATAGAAAACTTGGACACAGCTCCGGTCACACACACCAGTAGGCTTGGGACCAGCAAATTGTACTGCTTGAAGTGAAAAATACGTAGTAGGTGGCAGGCTTGACCAAGTCCTAGATTTAATTATCTAATACATCGCACTTCGCTTTTGGGTTCACATGATCTCGAATTCGTACTACTCCTAGTACAATGCTACAAGTCAGTATGCTAAATTACAGGCCAGTGTACAACATAGTATCCTGAGTCCAATAAATGTCCGCAACACACGATAAAAAGCAGGATAGAGCATGATCAAAATACATCACGAACATTGTCCACGCAGCGCCGCAATAGGTTAGATATAAAGCGGAATCCTTAAAGTCGAGGTTGAGTCGAAGAGTTATTTGCAAAGTTCAATGTTCATGCACCACCTTGAGCAAAATATGTCTTGAGGAACAATCCCCACTTCCTTATCACAGGTTTAACGATATCTTCCCATTCCCTCCCAAAGAATTCACCTTCCTTGACGCGCGTGAATGAGAACACTTCCCTGTGTTTGGTCCCATCTGTGAATTGGCGAGCTTTAGCACCTGCCCCGCAACTATGCATTAGGTCTAACTTACTACAGTCACGGCAGGGTTTAAGATCAACCTTTGGCTGACGTGGGATATCCGAACAGTGGACGTCAGGAAAATTGGGATGCAGATAAGCAGCATGTGTTGCCAGATCCTTGAGCTCGATATGCACCAATCGTTCGAGTTGTTCAGCCATCGGACCCTTGTCGCCCTGGCGATTATTTCTAATGAGCTTCTGTATCGCCAACTCGTCATCATCTTTAGCTTCGATTATGGTCTGAGGCCACCACCCGCGAACATCTTTTATGGAAGAACGACACTTGTTCTTCCACTCTGCGTAGCGTTTCTTGACATCTTTGCTGTACCCAATCTTCAATGAGAGCTTCTCCTCGTTCTCGGGGTCTTGTTAAGGGCTCAGCTTGCAGGCCAGCATTTGATGATGGGTCAAGTAAAACCTACCGAACACGTTCAGCGCATATACATAGCCTGGTATTTTGGACCTTTCCGAAAGATCTCTTGTCATGGTCTTTCGAAGGTTTCGCTGAGTATCAAGTTGCAGATACTCAGGAATATAGTCTATTGAACGTTTAAAATGGTCCAACGAAATCTGCAACAATTGCCTTACCGCAAAAGCGAACAAAGATATCGTCCTGACCGGCGACTAGCTGCACTTTAAACCCCCCATTATCAATGTGTTTCACAATCCCTACAACATCGCTTTGAGGTCTGTGCTGATGACAATATTGAGTGGAAGGTTTGACTGAACGTTCGCATTGAATGGCGCGTAGTGCGAGTTCACGGCATGGTGAACTTGAATTCACATCTGTTACTGGTTGAATGCCACCTAGCAGTGTGAGTCCATTGCGCCGTGAATTCACTTCTGGTGTCAATGTTGGTGCGATGGGCGTGGTAGGGGTGTTGTTGCCTTGATACTCATGCTCATGACGGTATTGAACTGGAGGTTCGACTGGAAGTCGGCGCTGCAAATTCACTTCTGTCGTCGGTTGCGGTGCTATGGGTGTGGCAGGGGTGTTATTTATTTGATATCCATGCTGATGGCAGTATTGAGTCGGAGATTTTACTGAATGTTGGCACTGAATGCCACCCTGCGTGAGTCCATGGCATCGTGAATTCACTTCTATTGCCAACGTCGGTGTGATGGGTGTGGTACTAGTAGGGCTGTTATTACTTTGGGATCCATGCTGATAACAATATTGAGCCGGAGGGTTGACTGAACGTCGGCATTGAACGCCACGTAGTGTGAGCCCATGGCATTGCGAGTTCACATATGTCACAGGCTTCGGTGCAGTGGGTGCGGTGGGGGTATTAGCACTTTGGGAATCGTGCTGGAAGCAGTATTGAGCCGGAAATTTGACTGAACGTGAGCATTGAACGCCACGTAGCGTGAGTCCACAGCATTGCGAAGATTTCGGTGCGGTGAGTATGGCAAGGATATTAGGATCTTGGGAATCATGTTGAAAGCAGTATTGAGCTGGAAGTTTGACTGAACGTGAGCATTGAACGCCACGTAGTGTGAGCCCACGGCATTGCGAAGACTTCGGTGCGGTGACTATGACAGGGGTATTAGGATCTTGGGAATCATGTTGAAAGCAGTATTGAGCTGGAAGTTTGACTGAACGTGAGCATTGGACGCCACGTAGTGTGAGTCCACGGCATTGCGAAGACTCCGGTGCGGTGACTATGACAGGGGTATTAGGATATTGGGAATCATGTTGAAAGCAGTATTGAGCCGGAAGTTTGACTGAGCGTGAGCATTGAACGCCACGTAGTGTGAGTCCACGGCATTGCGAAGACTTCGGTGCAGTGACTATGACAGGGGTATTAGGATCTTGGGATCCATGTTGAAAGCAGTATTGAGCTGGAAGTTTGACTGAACGTGAGCATTGGACGCCACGTAGTGTGAGTCCACGGCATTGCGAAGACTTCGGTGCGGTGACTATGACAGGGGTATTAGGATCTTGGGAATCATGCTGAAAGCAGTATTGAGCTGGAAGTTTGACTGAGCGTGAGCATTGAACGCCACGTAGTGTGAGTCCACGGCATTGCGAAGACTTCGGTGCGGTGACTATGACAGGGGTATTAGGATCTTGGGAATCATGTTGAAAGCAGTATTGAGCCGGAAGTTTGACTGAGCGTGAGCATTGAACGCCACGTAGTGTGAGTCCACGGCATTGCGAAGACTTCGGTGCAGTGACTATGACAGGGGTATTAGGATCTTGGGATCCATGTTGAAAGCAGTATTGAGCTGGAAGTTTGACTGGACGTGAGCATTGAACGCCACGTAGTGTGAGTCCACGACATTGTGAAGACTTCGGTGCAGTGAGTACGGTAGGGGTATCAGGACTTTTAGGTCCATGCTGAAAGCAGTATTGAGTTGGAGATTCGACTGAACGTTGGCATTGATCGCAACGTAGTGTGAGTCCATGGTATTGCGAATTTACGTAAGTTATTGGTCTCGCAGCAATATCTTGGGATTGACGGCGCTGCGAAGCCCTCACATTCACGGATGAATTAGAAGGAGGAAGGCCGGCATACTGGTCAATATGAGGGATGCGATAAGAATCAGGGGCTCTAATCGGTTTTATGCCATTGCATTGTGTCGTAACTGGCTCCGATTTTCTGGTGTCCTGAATGATTTCCGCGTGATGTTTAAAACTTGTTGTGGGCTTGAAATCAGGAATTCTGAAGGCGGAGAAATAATGCTCACATTTCCGAAATCTCCACCACAGCCGATGTGGTTTGAAGAGAGAGACTGAACTCCGATTTGGTCGTCTCTTGCTTATGACTGACAGGTACGAATCGTGGTTTACTAAGACGCGGAGGCGTGTTATCAGGCGTCAAAAGCCCTGGCGGAGGCCAACGAGGGTTAGTAGTTGACTGATTGCTAGACCGTTCAGATGAGTTTTCTGAGACGGTCAGCGACTCTGTGTCCTTTGGGACATCAGAACGTCGTACAGGGGTACGAGGTGGAGAGGTTGGACGGATTCCAAAGAGGTTGGGTCGTGGGCGAGAGTCCGGGGGCGTTACCAGCCCAAATAGTTGTTTAACGCGTGGTGGTGTCGAAGGAATGTTGACTGCCAATGGCGTCACACTAGCGGTCCTTGACATAATGACCGCATCATCGCGATTGTCATCCTCCAGAGCACTTGTCCGGCAGTGTCCCTGGTAGTGACTTGTAGCCATGGCAGGATGGTGGGGCGAGAAGAAGAACAAGAGGTGTGGTATAAACACATAGTGTCATCCATAAGAAATTAAATACCTGGACGGATACATGAGTTATCTCGGCAGCGATAACTTATCATCATGATGCCCGCCCAATCCTATGCCGACATCGCATCGACAAAGCAGGGTGGACAGAAAACGGCAATCCTGTGCTAAGAAGCAAAAGGAGCCTTTGGGACTGATTCTCATGCTATGCAGAATTCTGATAGACAAATAGCACTGCCCGTGTCTCGTGATCCTGTATTTCGGCTGACCCGACGATCGAATATCTCATTTGCCAAGGACATGCAGGGGAATGAGCAATGTCAGTGTTCCAACTCGCAAGTTGTGTCACTGAGTGCAAAGGCATTTAGTTGTGAAGCAGGGGGCAGACACTTTCTAAACGTCCAAATTAACGGTAGGTCATCTAGAAGTTTCACAAATTATTATGTCAACTCCAACCAAGAATTATATCGTCACAAGGGGAATGCCGACCTCAACCACACTCTACCGTGATCATGATACAAGTCCGCGGTGCGCCAGATCAAGGTCCGAACAAGAGTCAGACTGATAGTTGTGGGGTGTGGCCCTCCTGGTGCCTTCAGAAAGTGCCCGAACCGGAAAATCAGCGCCGCACAAAGAACGCGTTGCGAGCTTTCCCAGAGCATTCGTACAGAGGCTGGTACCTGAAGCAGAATCAGGACGTTGACTCCGATCAGATGCGACCGTGTGTACCGTACACGTACGGAAAAGCTTGCCACAATGAGTCAGACTTGATAATTGTTTTCCGAATCCAACGTATCATCCATGCCAGAACTTAGAGGCCTCGAGGCCTTCGAGAGGACGGCATCGCCTGTTGTGAGTCTAGTAAGCGTAGCACAAAAGTGATACACTGTATATGGTACCAGGTGACACCCTGACTACTACCAGGACCCCGAAACTCAAAAGTTCAAGGTTCAACAACGGCGGTCACGCCTCCTAATTATTTGCCTTGTTAATATTTTATCACCTCTAGACAATAACTAATCATGTCTCCGTAGCAATGTCCACAGATCCTCCAGAAGGATACCAAGGCACGAAAGCGTCAAGACTCAAGCGCCGTGCTCTCTCCTTTTGACCTTCCAACAAATCAATCTCGGACCTCATCATGATCAACGACCCGGCCAATACTCCATCGTAGACGAGCAAGCAGTAAGAGCCGACCTACTGCAGCATACCCGAGAGTGCTGTAACTTCCGTTCGTTTCACCTGCTAAGCCCCGTCAGTTAAGACATTGCGCGCTCCTGGAAAGCAATTGTAATAACGCCAATCCCTTCATTAGAGTTGGCCACGAGCGCATCGTGATATTCTCGGACGCCAATAATAAGGCGTGGTCCGAGCAGAAACATCTGCACGAAAGAGAAGACTCGAAGAATGCCGAGATACATTTCAGCTCCCACAGAAGTTGACTCCTTTGGAAACGGTGAGAATGGTTAAATGCAAACTGAGATTGACATACCGAGATACTTTGGGACAGCAGGCCGAGGTTTAAGCCAGAAATAGCAGTAAAGCTAATGCATGCATCGTCGGCGGAAGAGATAAACACATTAAAAATGACGAGCTCACGCTGCAAAGTAAAGCATGTGGGTTTTGATCAACACCGTGAAACAGTCCCCGACGACCGAACCTGTGGATGGCAGTTCCCGGAAGTGTCTTGCAGCGATCCAGACTGCAAGACACAATGTGAGGACCTCCCATGCAGTGAAGAATATCCAATTCTCGGCTCTCATAAGTAGGTCCACTCCTTGGTAACTGCACCAATGGATATTGGACAGAACGAGTTCTTCTGGAATTCATCCCATGAGCTTGATATGCTAAGGTTGTTTGTAAGCTCACCCCCTGAAATATGACCACTGTCCAATACACTGATTAGTCCAGAGGCGATCGTTTTAGCCAGGAAGGTTAAAACGAGAAAGGTGAACATTTTTAGGGATCGCTGATACATGGCATTTAATCGGGCGATCATAATAACTTGCATGGTGGTTCAGTCAATGCCGAAGTACTGCAGCCGAGTAACTCACCGCCCAGCATTGCATTTACGATGACAGGTATCCACCATTGTACAAGGTAATAAGTAGTGCCTAAAATCCAGTAAATGATGAGCATCGGAGGGCTCTATTCTTCGAATGAACTCACAGCTAGTTCAGTCATTATATCAATTCAAGAAGTTAGTCAACGATTACACTCACCCCTATGTAGGGGTTAGTTAGACGAGAATCAGATGTTTGTACAGAATACTTACTGCATCTGTCACCGAGAATGACGGAAGTGTTGCTGCACATGATACGGTTCATCAGAAGAAGAAGACATAAACACAGGAGCACGCTTGCAAAGAGACATACACAGGAATACTATGCTGTCCATGAGAAACAACTCATTAGTACGGTGCCAACTTGAACTTGTAAGCACTGCGAACATACACACAGTATATTATTCCGGTGTAGCGCACCTAGGATATGTTGAAGTAAGCACAACTCAGTGTCAATGCGTAAGCTAGCACATACGCTGATATATAAAACAGTCATGAGGGACCAGCGTTTCCTCTGCCCGATTTAACCGAGCATTGTTCTTCCGATGAGATCTTACTCACCCAGATAAGTTCAAACTGCCAGATCATTATTAGTGAGATGGCTGATACCGAGTTTCCAACCTACCTCCTGTCCGAAAGCCAGTACTGGATGATACGATTAAACATCGATAATTTCCCAAATAAAATATCTTGCTCACCCCAGTCGTACAACACTGCAGTCAAGGCTGCAACTGCGAAATCATGGTCAAACTTTGAGTAAAACATCGGAATGTTCTCTACAAACCTGTAAAATAGCTGAGAATCATTTGGAAATTTATTAGCGGCCACATATTGGGATCATCTGAGACTATGGTCATAGTATTCGAGGGACTGGTGTCAGTGCTGCAAGTGAGTGAGTGGGGGACTTGGTGGACGTATGAAGATGATATGTTCATGCTAAATATAGTAGATAATTACCGCTGGCATACAGCGCATTCGTTACCAATACGCGCGGCCCGGTTGAATGCATGGATAAAGCTGTTCGTGATTGACAGTTTCAGTGGGCTAGTATCTGCCCCACGGGAGAATCTGATTGGGCCTATGACTGTCCTGACCGCCCTTAGCTATATCCGAGCTGCGGAATATTTAGTCCCGGAAGAAGGCGGCCCCTGCAGGCCTGAAGGCCTGACAGTGCAGACGTTTTCTACGGACTTGCTCAGCGCTCGGGATCCGCGGGCCGACTCAGATTACTCACAAGCAAGAAACACTTGAAGAGGACTGCTACTAGCATCTGCAGACCGGCCCGCACAGGCTTCGTAACGTGATTTGGCACTGAACCACACGCTACGCTCTCTGCCCCCACTGCGGCACGCACTGCTTTCAGTCCTCGATATGACGAGGTTTACGCCGAGCAACAACTAATTAAGTGCATAGAGATACACAAGCTAGATGTGTGGCCATTATGTAGGTCGGATTCAGAGCGGACTTTTACTGACCTGTGACAATCGAGTAAATAAGGAACGACTGTCTTCATTCATCTATAGTACTTAGTCTGTACAAGGCGAGGCTGAGGGAGACTAGAGCTGTTGTGACAAGTGTCTGTTGCAGTGTTTCGAGTAATACCGAAAGGCAAGATGTGTGCTGTCAGAATTACAAAAGTCCTTCGACAGTCAAATATTTTACCGTAGACGCCAAAAGCTCTGATGGAAAGCGTGTCATCCTGGGGCTTGCGCCGTGGATATCAATTGAGGGGTATAAGGCTTCCCATTAACTCCCTCCGAAGGGGTGTTGCATGTGATGGCTCAAGCATAGTATTCCGATACAAATTTGCCCCATTTCTCGATGACGGGTTTCACGAGGAGTTCCCACTCTCGCCCCTTGTAACGTCCCTTCTCAGGACGTGGAAATGCGAATATTTCCCTATGTATAGTACCACCTGGACCCAGCGTCAAAAATCCTACATTGCCAGCATAATAAATATAACAATCGCTTACAATCGAGACAGGGCTTCATCGTAGCCTTCTTCGGCGACCCAGAGGTAGAAGGAGAGGTGTCTGAATTGTCGACTTTCGGAAACTTGGAGTCCAGATATGGTGTGTGGACCACCAAGTCCGCGAGCTCTATATGCACCAACCTCTCCACACGGTGGCACAATGGCCCCGGTTCTCCCGCCTTGATGTTTCCTGTAAGCAGGCTCCCATTAGTACCGTCGTCGTCACTCTCGTCTTCGACTGTGCCTGGCCACCACCCCCGGACGATTGGTATCTTCGAACCACATTGTTTGCCCCATTGATCCAGTCGTTTTGTGAGATTTACAGCGCGCCCGACTTTAAGTTGAATTACACCAGGACGTTTCGGGTCTAACATGGATGCCAATGATGATGATGTAAATATCAAGAGCTCGGAAACTCATGGCGACGAACCTCGGATTTCGTACGTGTAGATATATCCAGGGACGTCCGAAGTGGAGGCAGCTTTCTCCATTTCGACTCTAAGTGCCAGCTGGGTATCGCGTTGGAGGTATTGTGGTATATAATCTGCCCTATGTTGAAGAGCGTATCAGACGAGATGAATATGATGCTCACCACTAAATTCTACAAATGTATCTGGCATGCCTTTCTGTCTGACATAAAATCCGGTTTGCGCATGAAACATTGCGTCACGGTGCTGATGACAATACACGACAGGTATTGGGTCAATATGAGAGTGCGTCGAGGGAAGCTTGACTTGGCGCGAGCATCGCTTCCCGAGCTTTGTCATGCTGCTACATTGTGTGGTGTTCTTGGTTGCCGAAGATGATGATGGGGAAAGGGGTACAGAGATAGCACGCGGTCGAGATTTGGGTGTGATATCGAGCGCTGGACGCGAGCGCATTCCTACGGAGATAGAGGGATAGGCCATGATGTCAGGGGAACGGAGGGAATCTGAGTGAGGATGCGATGGTGGAGTGATGACTGGCAGTGGCTTGGTATTGAGCGCGTGCTGCATCGTCAACGACTGTTTCCCCGTCTGAGGAGATGGAATGGCTACTACAAAGGTAGGCGGCATTGGTAGTGGGGGTAATACGCCCTTACTGTTCAGAGAGGATTGTCCGCTGCGTGTGGGTTGTCGCTTGGTGGTGTCAAGTAGCGCGTTCACTGCCAATCTTTCGGGACTGAAACCTCCTATGAAACTACTTGCCCGATTCCCGTTGGCAGGGAGAGGGTCAGGTAGTCGCTTGCTCTCATTTGGCTTGCCAGCGAGTGCCATGGCATCAAATGCCTGGACGAGATCATAGCGTTTTGGTGGTATCTGTGATGGATATGAATTCATAGTAGTACAGGAAGAAGAGAAGGGCGCAAGGCGCCTGCAGGAGCAAGGCCGTGCACACGAGGAGATCAAGACAATAATGGAAGTCAGCCGCGGGTAAGGCAAGCACATATGTATGATCTGCGCATTCGGCCTTATCCGTTTGTTGATTGCTTCTTCGTATAAAAAGGTTTATCCAATGACTCGTTCCTTTCAAACTCCCATCACCCACACGCTCAGGTAAGTCCCAGTGGTTACTTTTGCTGTCTCCACATAAAAGATGAAACGCACTGGGCTCTGAAAAGAGATAGATGTCATGCACTACGCTCCAACTAGTAGAGTGGCGGCCTAGAAAACCGTTGACTGACTTTCATTGTTTTTGCATCCGAACCGATCGATATCGATATTGACTTTTCCCCACAGTCAAATGACACGTGGCCCGCCGCGGCATGCCTGGAGGTGGGATTTGTAGGATTTTCTTGCGCAGTGTACTGTAGTTTACATGTCGGCTGCCACCACATATAATAATGCGTTGTCTGCCAAAGTTGACGAGGCCACCGGGTGGGAAGTCGACGTCGTCAATACAATTGAATATGTAGCGTGCTGATAACGCACAAAAATTTCCTTTTATGATTTGACAACTTGAAATTTTAAACTTCACTGTGCAACTGTACAATTGGTTGATTTTGTCATAACCCCTCCTACAGATCTTCTGGAGTCTACTTTCTAGTCCAACGAACGCATCGTATACAGCAACGAGCTGCATCATCCTGCCGGAAATGGCGGATGCACAAGTCCTTTGCGGCATACTCGAGGAAATGACTTCTAGCATGTCATCAGTGCGAGAATTGCTCCAACAAAAGTAAGAGTTGGCATTCATGATAGTCCAACTCTCATTGACCTTGCTCTAGATCAAAATCTGAAGACGACATGGATATGACGCACGGAATATCTCTACTTTCCCTCAAACACCACCTGCTTTTGTCGTACTTACAATCACTTGTCCTACTCTCCGCACGCCGAGCAACTGGTGACTCATTAACAGAGAGAACATCGAACATGTCCCCTTTCAGCACGGTCGATCGAGAGGCGCGGGGATCTGGCGCTGGTGATTTGGTCGACTCTTTGATAGAGGGTCGCGTGGTACTCGAAAAAATAAATGTCCTGGAAAGCAGGATGCGATACCAGATCGAAAAGCTGGTTAGAGTGGCTGAAGAAGTGTCTTCTGGCAAAGATGTGGCCGAAGGTGTGTTTTTTATGCTTTAATAACAACTCCTTGCTGATATACCTCTCAGATCCCCTCGCCTTCCGTCCAAACCCTCAAAACCTCGTCGACAACGAGCGGCACTCCGACGAGGACCGAGACGCCCATCCCAACGTCGAAGACCCCGATGCGATATACCGCCCTCCCAAACTCGCACCTATGCCCTACACGACAGCCGCCGACAAGCGTTCTACACGACAACCTGTTCCTAAAGCACTCTCCACCCTCCTCCACCAAGACCCCTCGCGCCCGCACGTCGAAGGTATATCTGGTCTGGGCTCGATGCCCTCCTTCGCGTCCGACCGCGCCCGCGAGATCCAACGTATCAAGGACTTCGAGGAAGATAATTTCACTCGGTTAGTAATGAAGAAAACCGAGGCGCGCAGGCGACGAAAGGATGAAGAGGATTTGGCACTCGGAGGTACGGGAGCTGGAAAGGGCAGGAAGAGAGGCCGGGGCCTGGAGGATGAATTCGCGGATGTGCTTCACTCAATCGGGCGCACGAAGACGGGAGTGCTTGGCGATGGATATGAAGAGCTAAGGCAACGGGGTAAAAAAGGCGATGCCTTATCCAGATCGCGAACCACATGGAAGGGAGATATTGAGGATGCAAACAATGACGAGCCGCGACTGAAGAAGCGCACAAGATTCGAGAAGGCAAAGACGACTTTACACAAGAAAATGAAGGCAAGGAGATAGCTTTTTTGTTTCCTTTCCAAGTTCCTGTTATGTTTTCTGTACCATCCCAATGACCTGGTCATTTCGAATCAAAGTTCAGCGGATGCAGACAATAAATTCCTCTCTTAGATCAACGTCGACCATAGTTCGTGGGCCACGTTCGGTTTGTTATACCTCGTCGAATTAGCTGCCAACTACACACTTGCAAGAAGGCTTCCGTGTCACGATGTTTTATTACGCATCAGCATATAGTTGTCAGTGACAGCAAAAAGCTGCAGCTATGGACGGGCCGAGACAAAGTTTTGATAACTTGACAGGAAATGCTAACGGCGAGTATTGCAGCATTCGACGTGGCGAGGGCAGGGCACTAACAGGGGTGGGATGGTTCATGATCGAGGAGCATGGTGAGTGATAATGAATTATATGTATCGCGTTATCAAAGCGATGAGCTGGAGTACATCAATGAAACATCTAAAAATCATCTTCATCATCAAAGTCTCGCCTGCGCTGGTACTAGTTGGTAATCATGATCAGCAATCTTCCGTCTCAAAGGTTATGTCAGTGATGTGGTCGAATACTCACTACTATCGTGGTCTTCGTAGTTGTCTTGGACCGTGCGTCCTCCATCTAAATACATTACATCCAGCACACTGTATGCACTTATACGAGAAAGATTACACACCTGATCAAGAAGGTCGATCAACTGCTGCTCGCTCACACGTCCCCGCAGCTGTCCTGACTGAGCCATCCGCATAATGATGGTCTCGACTTGCCGCGATCTGTCCGGGCTCACAAGGGCGATGCGGGATACTTGGTAGTGAATACAAAATGGTGATATTGAGTACGGGAACTAAGCTAGAAACAGGAAGGAGTACGCACATCGCTCTCGGGCAGCACTGTCGAGGATGGTCGCCATCATATCCCGGCGCATTTCATCTTCAGCTACCTTCCGCTTTGACTCCTCTTCTGCTGATACATTTGGGTTTTGTGGTGACAAGCCCTGTAGATTCTCCATGGATGGGTGTTTGAAGTTGTGAAAGTTATTGTAATAGGGATCACCGGTCAGGATGAGATTAGATATGGGAACTATTTGGTGAATTGCTTCCGTTACCGCGAGCTCGTCGATCTAAACAGCGACCACATCAATTTTGTACATGACTACAGCACAATGTCGACATCGTACCACATGATAGACCCGATTGCGACGCTACACGACT